ATCATTGTTATTTGTAATACAATTACTAATTGCATTACTGCGATACAATTATGAATTATATAACAAATAATATGAGCTAATCGGCTGCCATTACGAATAGTTTTTATGTAATTAAAGAATTTGTTGAGTTGTTACGGAGATCGTTGATTTCTAAAATTATAAATTGAATTTTTTTATGATAACGTATAGTGCATTTGTAAATATTGTAGAAGACCTTGGACTTTAGATTTTGATGGGTATTTCAAAAATGCAATAAACCTATTCTATGTCTACTTTTTGATGAATTTAATCTTAATTATCAGGTTCATTCTAAATATAATTCGTCTCTAAATATATTTCAATAAATAAGAAATCCTGTTAGAAGTGCTGATTTTATCGTTTCCAACAAAAAACGAATCGATGAATTCATAAAACATCGATGGAGCTCTTTCTGACATACACACATATATATAATAAAAAATGGAATAATTTTAAATACTAATTTCGTGTATTGGAATCTGGAGATCCAATTAAACATTTTGCTTATATCATTTTACTTGGTATAATAAATTGGAGATTTACATTTCGGTATTGAAAATTTGACAATACTGTAATGGGTCTCAAAAATCATGTTGCTAGCAGATTCATAGATCTCCAACTCACCTTGTTTAAACGTAGAGTGCGCTAAAAAAACCAGTAATTTTTTAGTATATCGGTATTTCAAGTCACGGGCCACGAAAATCCGTAAGATGCACTGTCTATTCATATACCACCGACGAGGTATATGAATAGACCTAGCATACAATGTATTTTTTTTGTCCAACAATTTCAGGGCTAGATGACCCCGTTACACATTTTCGTGTCACACCTTGTCGTATCGATTCAGGCAAGTTTTGTACCGCGAAAATCAAAAAATATAGTGTTGCCAGATTTATTTCGAGAATTATCCATTGAATTGAACGTGGTGGTACTTCATCAATGAAGGAATATAAGGATTTAAAACAGAGATTGATGAAAATTCAGATGAAAAATTTAGTATATTTGACTATTAACATTTATTTAAAAAGTATTAGAAAAAATTTATTGAAATATGATATTTTTATGAACAATATAGTTAGATATGATGTTTTTTTATTTATAAATTTGTAAATTCACAACTTGAATGAATTATTTTTATCCCGTAAACTTGCTTTTATGAAAGTTTGAACTTATCAATAAAATATTTCTATAAATATTGTTTGGAATAAAGCAGCACATGTATTGTAAATTATTTCTTGCAAAATTCATCAGTTTCGAAATTTCGAAGTCAAATTTATTTTTTTGAACGATACTATACATATTTTCTTTTTTATAGTTATTTATTAAGACGAACTCACTGAGTTGCATTTTTGACGGCCGAAATTACATTTATTGTTATAAATCGTTAATAAAAATAATACAAAGTATGAGTGACTTAATGATATATACATATGTTAGTATTAATAGTTTATGAGTTTAAAACCTTACTCATTCGTATTTTCTTCCTTCCATTCTGATTGCCGGTGAATTTGTAGATCAACCACTCCTTCACTGATTTTGACGATCCCTAAATATTATTTAGAAATCGATATTCTCAACTAACTCTTCTCTTTAACAAACAAAGTCCAACAAGCGTTACAAGAAAAAACTGTTCAAAATATCTGCACAATACATTCAAAAATCATCGAACTCGGGAGGAGTCAGTCTACACATTCACTTAATTGCCTTCGGTATTGTGTGTAATGACAGGAGAAAACGAGGTAAAGGGACACAGACAAGTTTCGGTTTTCCTAATGAAAGCGTAATTGTCGAAGTCTAAAAGTCTCACATGATTGCCACATTTCTGTTGCTGTTCTGTGCGTCGACTCGATAAAATGGTTTAACTAGTGAAACAGAAGAATTAGAGAATTTTTCGTATGTTTCCGAATCCGCCCGAGCTTAACCAAAATTATCCGATTTAACCCGAAGTATCGACTACCCGCATTAAATGATATCAAAAATAACTTAATCCATATTTTTGATTTTCAAAAAAATTCTTATTTCACATTTGAATTAAATAAAACAAAAATAATTTTTTTAAATTTTCATATTAGTTATACTTAGTTATACTAAAAAAATCAAACAACAAAGTCACGCAAATAATATCGTCGCTTTTCGTAAATATAATTTGTTGAATATTAATTCTTTTTTTGACAAATCTTCATGATAGAAATATAAATATTGCATTTAAAAACAATTACAAAAGTATAATAATAAATATTAAAGCCAATGGGACGTATCATTGATGACATGGACGTGTTATTCTATTATTTCATTCATTGTCAGTGCTTCTATTTCTATTCTTTCATTCATTATCGCTGCGTTATGAAATAATAAGAGAACTAAGATGAAGAAAAGGCATGCTACATATAAATAAAACATAGTATCATTTTTTTATTTTTTTTTTTTTAAATTCGTGATATTGTTTTGGAAAAATTAGTTATAATTTATGAAAATTTTGCTTTATCAATGATTGACTCGCGGAACACGAGTTATTTTTTAATTAATAAAAGTTGAATTGTCTTCAAATATTTGATAAACAATCAAAATGAAAAGAATAAATTTTCAAAATAATAAATGTATTATTTATTTATTTCTTATGTATATTGTTCTATGAAAAATAAATAAATATATATTTCTAGAAATAAGAAGTTTTGTTAAAAATAGTAATAAAAATAATTAAAAAGAATCAAAAATAATTGTTTATTATAATCCTTTTCCTGATTTTAAATTGAAAATATTATGTTTTTTATATTTTCGTTTCCTGACGAATAAAACAGCATTAGACATAATCCTCTTAAAATTCACTTCAGCAAGTATGCGTTGAATAGGAAATTTGAAATCTATGTCCCTTTAAATACTTTGTTTGAAATTCATTACGGTATGAGCCGTCTTCAGGTTCGATCAAGGACCAAAGTACAAATCAGAGAAAGATACACGTATTCTTACGTCAAGAAGCTACCCCGTAAAAAATCTATTTCGTTCTAACAATGTTGTGTGAAATTGTAAAGTATAAGTTTAGTCTTGATCTGCTATCCTTACATTTAGTTTTGATCTGCAAAAATATAATCACATAATGTGCCCCTTTATACCAGATTTAGTAAACATATTCAACACAGATCGATTTTACGAGAGATATAAAGATATATTCCGTAGATATGTTTATATTTTTCATTAAATCTTCACGAAATATTAAGGATTTATATTAAATAAATACCAAAGTTTTGTTATTATCATAATATAGATAGGCAAAGTAGTTTATAAAAAAATTTCGAATAATATTTTAATTAATAAGCATAATTTTTAACTAATGAATTATAGAATTTGTGTTATTTGTCATAACCAATGAACTGCATTGCATAATTATAATAAAATTGTTAAATTTAACGTAAATTTGATAATTCAATATTAATAATAATTTAAAATAGTTAAAAATTTAGTTGGTTAAAAATTGTTTTTAAGGATATTTATAAATAAAATATTTATAATAAATAATAAAATATAAATCATTTATACTTGAAACCGTATATTAATAATTTTAAACTTTTAATTTACTACATATTTAAAAGTCGTGATAAATCCGTAAAACATGGATAGAGCTTTTTCTGACGTATATGTAATAAGATAATTTCGGTTAGTTACTAGCTTCACATTTCGGTATTGAAAGTTTGACAACACTATAGGTTTAAAAAATCATATTCTTGGCGCATTCACTACTTGATCAACCTCGATCGGTTCACTACTTGATGTAATTCGCTAATTGACCGTTCTTTAAACGTAGAATGCGCTAAAAAACTAGTGATTTTTTTACTATGTCGGTATTTCAGATCCCCCGCCACAAGATGCTAGGTCTATTTATATACCTCATCTGTGCATATACTTCGTCTGTGGTGGCTGCATTTCCTGGTCGGTATTTCAGAACCTAAGACACAAAGTCCCATTTAATATCCGGTCTATGCTATTCTTAATCAATGGTCCGGTCTACTCTATTCTCTAGTCAATGATAACACATAATAATACTAATATGAATGAGATAAATAGCATACTTTCAAATAAGAAATATTGACAAATATAAGGAGACATATATATAAGAATAAGTAGCGCGCAACTGTATTAAATTCAAATACAATTTGTGTACGTCGTCGCCATTTTAACATAACCATTGCGTTGACCAGTAATTTGTGTACGAAAACACGAGTTAGTCAACTTATTATCAGTACAATACATGAAATAGATTTGGATGTTATATAAAATTACATCTTTCCCGGCATTACGAAAGGTAGCTTTGAAGAACAAATGCAATGGAAACGTGTTACAAATAACGCTTGTATGTCTACAACTAATAATCAAATAGCAGAGCAATAAATAATACGTCAGTTTTATTTATAACAAAATAAGTTTCAATGCTCCATCCCTTAAATAAAGTAGTAGTATTAAAAAATTATACTAAGGTCTATATAATTTTGTTTACGCTGTATTCTTAAAAGAAAAAAAAACTGGGTCATAAGGAACTAGTGTCATCTATCCTTTTTTTTATAAACTTTTATTTAAAAATTTTATATAAAAAAAAAATAAAGAACTTATAATAACAATTAGTAACCTATGGTCTATAACCTATAACCCACACACAGAACTACGAATCAACTGTTTTTAATTGAATACTTCAGTGACATAGAACTGGTCACAGTTCTGGTAACAATTAACATAGTTTTGAGTTGTAAGTTGCAGTACATGCTACTAATCTTTTGTTAACAGTTTTACAGGAACTAATAAAAAACTACATACTTTGTTGTACGAATAACGAAAATTTAAATGTTCACATTGATTGATACCGCCATCTAGAAAGTATAACCGAATATACTGGAAGGTCACATAAAAATACCGTTCGACTCTTAAGTCTCTGAAGAACTCGATAAGATTAGTGCATATGCGATGTGTCATGTACGTATGTATTTGATAAACTTATGTTATGATATTTCTACAGTCCGATGTCAGTTGCGCATATGAAACCATTGCAGTATAATCTGACGTAACGACATATTAAACTTTTACATCTGTGTGTGATATGAAGTACTTTCTTTAATCGAATGTTAATTGCTCTGATTCGCGTCTTCCATTATTATTTTTTTTTTTTTCGAAAAATATTCAATTATTTATACACAACTGGCAAAGGTACAGAACTTTTATTGTTTATATTCTTACTTTTCTAAAATATTTATTTTATATTTTATACATTTATGAAATAACATAATATCAATTACGATTGAGAATCGAAGAAATTCAAATTCGTAGAGATAGATAGATGTAGAACTTGGGAAATAACATGTACTATTTGTACAGTCAATTAAATGTCGGCTTTGTCATATTAATTCTTGCGTGTAGTCATGACATCACAATCTATCAATACACGTATATATTGTATTAAAAAATGTTTATTTTTTATAATTAATTGTTATAATTAACTGTTTATTTAACAATATAGTAACAATATACTAACAATATGTAAGTTACGTAAGTTTACTAGTTTCTTTATATATATGCCTATAAGTATGAATAAATGACATTAACCATCGATACGATAAGATACGATAGTAGTATAATATAATATAGTTGCTATAATGATTTAATATATCTGTGTAATAATTTTTGCAATTCATACGTAAAATTATTTTATGCAAAGCTTAAAGTTATAATATCTAATTAATAAATAGAATATATATTATCAATAATATCAAGATATACTTGAAATATATAATAAAAAAATAAGAATTACAACAATACAAATACAAATTACACTTTTATAATACAAATTACACTCTTCTATTAAATTATACATAAATATGTATTCAAATAATATAGAAAAACAGTGTTTTTTAACTGCGTCAGAATTTAATTATTAATATCTCATAAAATTTAAAAACTATTGTGCATTTATTGTGTAATTAAATAAAAAATGTATATTTAAGCTCAATTTGTAAATTTGTTAATTTACAAATTTCTATTTATCTATAAAAGATATTTTTATGTGTATACATATAATTTACTAATTGTTGAGACTAAGAAAAATATTAATCATTTTATATGTTACTTTTAATATAAATATTTGAAAATCAATGTAAAAATATCAAAATATTTTTATTACATACTTTGTATACACTAATGAATCATGATTTTTATAAAGACAATTAGTTATATATTGATGTAATAAATTTGTTTATAGAATATTTTTGTGAGATATATCTGTTATGTAAAGTTTATGAGATATTAGTCCAAGGTTTTCTCTTATCAAGTCTTCATACATTCAACAAGGAGATAATGTTGTGTAAATAGAATGCAATCTATTTATAAAACATATAATCAAGTAAAACATATTACATATTTAAAAACAAAATTATCTAAAATATAAACTTAATTAATCTAATAATAAAGGCAATTACATAATTATTATAAATATTGGCTACAATTTTAATAGTCATTAAACAATCAATTTGACTAATTTTAATAGTTGATTCAATTATAATAGTGTATTATAATAAAATATAATTACAATATAGTTACAGTGTCAGAAAAATTAATTAATTCAATTGAATTTTTTTAATAACAATGATAAAAGTAGATCTTTTATTTACATTATTTACATTATTATTTTTATTTACATTAATAAACTATATTATTTATTCCTTTATTCTTAATATTTGTATACAATTACATAATTTTTATAAGAACTTCACTTTTTTTTTTACAGAAGATTCTACAAGGTTCTTGCACAGTAAGATAATTTAATTAAAATCATTCATACTATAAAAAAATGTGTACAAAAAATTTGTTTTATTAACTTTAGTCAAACAATTATTAAAGGATTACAAATGTCTATCTTGCCAAACTCAACAGAGCAAGTGTTACAAAGTGCATCATCTCTTTCAATGGAAAAACAAAATGTAGATACAGTAAGTAATAAAATAGGTTTTAGCATTTCAATATAAATTATACATAGTTTTTTATTAGATATAAAATTATTTAATATAAGATTTTTACTCTGTTATATTGACACTAATTAAAAATCATAAAATGCAAAATTTTTGTATATTGTGCTGAAAGTTTCAACTAAAGTCAAATAAATATATTTAATTATATTCCAATTCAATTATGTTCTATAAATTTGAATTTCATTACATATCTGATTTCAGTCAGTGGAAAATCTGATATTCAACTATATCATACACAACATTAAATTGTGTATTTCAGAAGAAACAAGAAAAAAAAGTCGAGAGCGATGGCATATCAAATACACAAAAAGTATGGACAAGCTTGATATCAGGTGCTATTGCAGGAGCATTAGCAAAAACAACAATTGCACCTTTAGATCGCACGAAAATAAACTTCCAAATTTCAAATCAACCATTTTCTGCAAATGCGGCAATTAAATTTTTAATAAAAACCCTTAAAACAGAAGGTTTATTAAGCTTATGGCGTGGGAACAGTGCAACTATGGTCAGAATAGTTCCATATTCTGCTGTTCAGTTCACAGCTCATGAGCAATGGAAAGGGATTCTGGGACTAAATGGATTGGAAAAGTAAAACATAGCAAAATTATAATTATACAGTACTTAATGTTATATTTTCAAACATATAAGTATGCCTCCATAAACAAATTATATTAGATTAATATTTTAATCTAATCTTTAAATCTTTTGCAAATTTTACTACTATGTTAAATTTTATTAGATATATATTTACAATGGCATTGTAATCATTTACAAAAAAACTTTTATATTTTTATAGAGAAAAACCTGGACTGAATTTTCTTGCTGGTTCATTAGCTGGTATAACATCACAAGGTATAACTTACCCTTTAGATTTGATGAGAGCAAGAATGGCTGTGACACAAAAGACTGAATATAAAACTCTGCGACAAACTTTTGTACGCATTTACGTGGAAGAAGGAATATTGGCCTATTACCGTGGATTTAATGCAACGATGCTTGGTGTCATTCCTTATGCTGGTTGCAGTTTCTTCACCTATGATCTACTCAGGAACTTATTGGCTGGTGAGTTATTTCTTTCAGACTTATTCTACGCCGTGACGGTGCTTACACGCAGAAAAAAAAATCGTGATTTATACGAACGAGAGTGGCTCGTGTATGATCGTAAAGCAGGGTACCCGTGGGGCACATCGGGGCTGTTTCCCGATGTTGGGACAGTACTTACTTTAATAGCAACGCTTGTCGAGACAAGTCCGATGGCGGTGTTTTTCAAGTACGTGCTTCATGTTCGATGATGGCTACGTGTCGATGAACAGTGTACACGGTGACTATTCCTGGCTTCTCGACATCATTGATATTCGGCGCCATTGCCGGAGCGGTTGCTCAGACTAGCAGTTACCCGTTGGACATCGTCCGGAGAAGAATGCAGACCTCAGCAATCCATGGCCCAATCAACAGCCAGCACTATCACACAATTAGCTCAACTATCACGAAAATATACAAGTGAGTTTGTAATCATACCATTCATTTATTGTTTTGTTTAAAATTAAATAAAATATTAATTAAATTATTAATTAAATAAAATTTAACATAATTCTAATATAATTTCATAAAGATTATAAAATACAAAACCATACATATATGAAATAATAAAAATTATCATGTAAATAATTGAATTTGTGCTAAAATTTGATTGCACTACAAACAAGATTGTTTTATCATTTTGTTTTATTATTTTCAGAGAAGAAGGTATAATGGCTTTTTATAAAGGATTGAGCATGAATTGGGTGAAAGGCCCAATTGCGGTAGGAATTAGTTTCGCAACACATGATACAATCCGCGATGCGTTAAGAAAACTCATAGTTTATCAAAATCAGAAACAAAAAAAAGACAATTAGAAAGATTAACAAAAATAGCTAATTATGTATAACATAGAGCATCTATGTTAGAAAAACAAGTAAATATATTTTTATCTGCTAAAAATTTTTGAAATAAAGATATGTGGTAGACTTGCGCTCAAACTTTATCATAGTTCTATTGTTGATAACAATTATGTAGTAGCAAAGTTTGTATAGAAATCTGTCAAATATCCTGTATGAACATATAAAAGTTTATGATTGAAGAGAATTGCATCATTTAACATATTTCAGAAAACAAAAAATGCTAGTACAAATTGTTAATGTACATATTGTTAACTAAAGTATTATAAAAATTATTCAATTACTGCATGTCATATAGACATATATCAGAAATCTCAAAAAAGTGAAAACATATATTGTGCAAATATTAACGTTTAATTTATTAGCAATGTGAACATTTTGCATAATATAAATTGTGTGTGCAACTGCTCTAAGAAGTTTCTGCTCTTTAATCTATATTTTTTTTCACTTTCAATAATTATATAAATAACTTTATTTATTAAGAAGTAACACAACACACATCTACATTTCTTCACATTATAAATATTACAAATATGTATAATACTTCTAATCGTTACTCTAATAGTAAAGAAACAGTAATTGTTTTCTATTATTAATTAACTACTACACTTCTTGTATTGTATACTAACATTCTTTTGATAGTAACTGAGTTTTGACAATAACTTCATAAATATAATGTAACATATAAATAAATAGCACAATTATTTATAAAAAAGCAAATTGTTACAAAAATTATTTGTACCTAATTTTTTTTATAATATGATTTACAATTATTCCATAATTATATGGAATTCTATTATTAATAATATTTCAATTTATTTTAATACTATATATATTAAACTTCAAGTATATTGTATATTATAAAAGATTGTTGTTTAATTTTAACTTAATATTTTTCTTTAAGCAGATTATTATTAGATTGTTTGTTATTTCTAAATAAATGTATTTACTTTATATTTTCGTAATATATAAATATATCAATTACTACAATATATAATAATTTTTATTCAAATATTTAATAGACGTATTACATAAATTATATTCGTAGTATTAATCCTACGATACCATGGACAAGATATTTCGCTAACTAGGTTTTGCAATACCACTAACGAAGTGGAACTGTAGGAGAGGTATTATAAAGCGAGATATCTCGTCCACGATAGCGAAGGTTGAATATACACTTATTTAAAAATAAAATAAAAAGAAAAAACATATTTTTCTAATTTTATAATAATTAATAAAAAAAAATAAATGAAGAATAATCATAATAGAACAAAATTTACAAATATTTAATATGCAAAATACTGTTAAATAAGTCCATTATTATTTCAAAAAAATAGACTCTACAAAAAATATTTTATTAAAATTGACTAGTCTAATAATTCCGAACAGATATTATCTCATTTGTAAAAATTGTTTATCAGTCAATTATTTAAGATATAAAAATGTAAAATAGAACACTGTTATTATATACAAATGATTATTAATTTTTATGAAAAGGCTTTATCATTTAGTTTGTACTGCTTCAATAAAGCAGGATATAATTAAAAAATTTTTTAATCTATTTTTTCTGTAAAAAACTTTGTACAATAACACGATATTATTTTGGTTTAGTTTCTTGATCATTCACATATCTTATATAAATTTCTCTTTCATCATTTCCACCTGGTGGGATTTCAGCTTCGTTCAAATATGATACTCCTATAGCAAGTACAGAACCATCATGGCTAAAACTAAGTGCAGCAACACCAGCATTATATCTATGAAACTGGCATAAACGTTTTTTGTTAAAACCATCCCAAATATTCACATAACCATCTGAACCACCAGTTGCAAATGTATTATAAGTTGAATGAAAACTAATAGCATTCACTGGATATATATGTTCCACATTATTTTCCTTTATTCTATGGCATTTGAAAGCATATTTCTTTTTCTGTGCTTCTGGCGTTGTATCCAAATATTCAACAGCAACACGACCCTCTATACTACTAAGAACATATCCCTAAAAATTATTAAGATTTAAAAATAAATAAAATTTAACATTAATGTTAAATTAAATCAAAACATTGTCTATATAATCCTTTACTTTATTTAATTTTTAAAATATCAAACCTACCTGTTCATTAGGAAAACCTTTAATACAACGCGTTTGATATTTCAAACTGCTTTCTCGTCTTTGAAACATACCAGCCATATTTCTCAAATCCCAAATACAAACTTTGCGTTTGGCAGTACCTACTACAAACTTGTCTCCACATACAGATAAAGCAAGAACAACATCAGGTTGTAAATAACTACCTACACAAGTGGGTGTTCTAGGATCCCACAACTTCACTGCTGCATCCCATCCACCAGTTAATATTGCATTTACTGCAGCACAATATTCAATTTTTCTAATTGGTTTATCATGTGTTCCCATGATTGATTCTATAAGACAATTTTTCTCATGATTTTTTTACATTATAATGAACACGAATAAAAATAAAAATAGAAAAAATGTTAATACCACTATTACTATTGATGTCATACATCTTTAATGTGTTTCCTAAACCACCACTATAAGCATGAACGGCATCCTATTAAAAGAAAATTTTTATTGTACAGATCTTAAAAGTTAAAGTTTTTATTAGATACATTAAATAAGTTTTTAATAATTAGAAAAGTAAAAAGAAAATATATAAATATAAATATAAAATGATATATAGTATATTAAAATGTATAAAGTTTTTCTTTCTTATTTCTATTTTCATTTTTCTTATATAAACACTTTCAACTTATGTTTACTTGTATTCTAAATAATATATTTTATCTGATTTCATCTTTTTATTTCAAACATTGTAACATATTCATATATTTTATAACTCTACTATCTTATAAATATACTTATCTAAAATTATAATTATAAAAGTTCATAAAACAAAAGAACATCTAATGAGTTCGCAATTACCTGAAATGCAACATCTAAAACTGGCAAATCATGATTATATTTTAATCTCATAGTATTTGCATGAATATCATACAACCGCACTGTACTATCCCAAGAAGAAACAAGGAGAAACTGTGTTGAATTGGGTCCAAACTCCACTGCCGAAACAGCGTCAGTTGGAGGAGACTTTATTTTAAACTCTGTCCGAGATTCCATTCTTTAAAAAAAAAGATAAATAATATAAAAACACATATATCAAAAACTGTATGAAAAACATAACCTGCAAACAGAATTGCATTCACATACATAACAACTATGTTATTGCTTTTAATAGTAGATGTACAGTAAATTTATTCCCAACGTCAATATAAATTTTTATATTGTTTAATTATTAATCTACTAGTCAAAAATCAATTTAAATGAAATTTACATATCAAAAAAGGGGAGACATTCACTTCCATACGTGACATAAAGGGAATGTATAAGAATACCAAACTTAATTATAAATAAAAATACACACGAGACAAATTAAGATATGTAATTTTATTCGATTATAACACTACTCGAGAATGTATTACATGAAAGCAACAATATTATTTAATCTTTATATTTAAAATATACATACATATTTTATATAAAACTTTGGGCTAAACATTTGAATTTCAGGAAGTATTAAAAACTCCATGTTTTTGTTCAGACCATAAACGAGGTATAGGAATAGACCCAGCATACAATGTATTTTTTTGTCCCAGAATTTCCATTTTCGTGTTACATCCTATCGTACCGATTTAGACAGGTTTTGCACAGCAGCGCTACTACTAGTGAGAATTAAAATTAAAAAATATGAACAGCTGTTAGTTTCGAGAATTATATATTGAATTGAACGTAGTGATAGTTTATCAATGAAGAAATATAACGATTTAGCAGCGACTGATGAAAATTGGGATGAAAAATAGAATATATTTCACTATTAACATCTATTTAAAACATTAGAAAAAGTTTATTGAAATATGATATTTTTACGAATAATATAATTAAATATGATGCGAAACTCTGAAACAAAGATCGTGCAGCCTATTTCGCTAGTCATTCCAGAATCGATCTGTGGAATAATAACAAAAATGTGGTAACCATGTCAAATTTTCAAATTTGACAACTATGCTTTCGTCAGGAAATCTTGAACTGTCCCATTAATTTAATTTTCATTTGTCATTCTGCATGATGACAATGAAGGCAATCAGAAAGAGAATGTGAATGAGTAGTATTCAATGAGAATATATCACTTTGATTTCGTGTAAATTTCAATAAAGTATGTTAAAATATGTCATTAAATTTTTGACAAAATTGTAAAGAAATTCTGTAGTATACTTCAGAATCCATGTGACAGTGAGATATAAACACGGAGTGTAGAGAACTACGATTCCTAGAAGAAATAAGACTGCCTTAAGTCAAACAAAACAATCATTAGCAGGAAAGACTTAAAAGGCAATTTAATGCAAAAAATTCAATGCTCTCGAAAGATTTGGATGAACTGCAATTCCTTCGAATATACGTCAATAATATAATTTATTTTATAAAATCATTCTACAAATCCATATTTTATATTAATTCTTGCATAGTGAATGCCAGATTATTGTGTTCTCTTAACTGTTTCGTTCCGAAAAAAATTCTCTAGATTAAATAATATCCAATTATAAGAATATTCATAAAAATATCGACAAAAATATTAAAGTTCCATCATCACTTTC